TGATATTTTTATTGAAATGCTAAGATCCATAAAATCGATTACAACAATATGTACTTTATACATGTATATATATATATATATCGTAAATTCGATTAATTTAAAATCTCTCAACCATATTTTATTATTGACTGCTTAATTACATATTATTGTAAATGAATAAGAATATATTTTATATAGTATTTGAAATTAATCAATGTTGTAATTAAATTTTAATTGGTTTCTTATAAGAAATCATGTAATTAGCAATATTTTAATGAAGCTCATAAATTATTAAGGATAATACATTATTTTCGTATATACCATTGCTTGTCTCAAAAATATGCCTGTATTGATAAAAATATGATACTTTCATTACAAATAGTTTTAATAGATAAATAATTAATAATTTTAATAAAACTCTTTTAATGTATAAACTTAGCTAAAATTAAATAAATAGAAAGTAAATATTGATAATATAAGGCAACCAAAATTATGATATTACATAAATTATTACAATTATTTTTGTATGGAAAATTATTTTAAATGAAAAAAAATAATGTTTAACGAAACAAATAAAGCAAGAAATAAAGAGAAAGATTAAGAGTAGGGAGTCGACCGACTAGATAAGTTCAAAATAGTCTAAATTTTGTCCCGTGTATGAACAATTGTTTATCTACTATAAAATTCATTGCATTATTAATCTTAACGATAAAAGTTATTTTTACAGGAAGTAATATACATTATACAGGGTCAATATAGTTTGCATTGTGGTTTTTTTTTTTAGTTAGCTCTAATACAACAAAACCTTAATCATCTCTCCAAGAACAAAACTGTTTTAGATTTTATTTTATTTTAATATGGATTTACGACATCATCGTAGATAACATTTTATTATTATTACATTTGATAATTATTATTTATTATTTCGTTGCTGCTGCCATATATTATTATTTTTAAAGGAAATTAAAAATTTAAAATAATTATTTTAATAAATTTCTTGTTTTAAAAACATTTAATAGTATGATGGAAGAATTAAAACAAATTTTTTATTAACTTCACAATTCATTAGTTAATTATCTTACGACTATTTTTTTTTTTTTTATATAAATAATTATTAACGTATAATATTATTTATAAAATACATTAATAATATTTCAAATAATGTATGCGTAGTTTTTTAAAAATACAACATTATCGATATTTAAACAATAATAATATGTTTGTGACATAATCTAATAAATAAATAATATGAATTTTATATACAAAATGTGCAAATAAAAAAATAATACCGATATAATGTGAATATATTTTGAAAGGCATAATGATATGCATAATGATTTGCAATAGACTATAATATAATCAAAATTACGTTTATTCAAGAACGTGGAACAAGAAATTTATTATACACTAGTAATGGAACGTGTATGAGGAGTTAGAAAAATAATTACCTCAACGTTCCTTTCATACGTTCATTTGTTTAATTTTTTTCGACAAAGGTAATAAGGAAAATTGTCAAACTATAGTATATCAATTGATGGATTGTAATATTCACCGTTTATTTCTTTTTTCTCTATTTTTTAAGTCATTGTGTAGAATAATGAGTAAATGATTTTTATAAAATTATTGAAAACATTAATAAAGTACTCGCTTAAATAATTACCATTTACATTATTTTTATTTTTTATTTTTAAAATAATTGAATTATAATTATCTCTTATTGCAAAGTGTATTAAATTACAATAAATTAGGCAACTTTATTATTTAAATAAGAATAATTAAATGTGTGTACATAAATGAAGGTTTGTAGAATAATTATATTTTTACATATTTTTCTACAACATGAAGAATATTATGCTCCTTGTTTAGCATTGCGAATACAATAAATTATAATTATTTTAAAAAGTCAAATATACGAATTCATTTTCTCAGCCGACTCTAATCAAATACTATTATATTGAAATTACATTACGGCAAACATAATAAAATAAGAATATCGATAATTAATAAATAAATAAGAAAATCGAGAAATTTTAGATAAATATATTAATAATAAGAATATTACATTAAAAGAAATGTATATGATAATTACTTACTCTTCTACTTGATTTCTCTTCTATGAAATTACATTCCATGAACTACAATAATAAATAAAATTTTACAAACAGAATAGATTTCTATAGAGTTCAAAATTTTTTTAAATTAAATTACATAAATACTAATAGTATGTACGATATAAACAAATATATTTTATTGCATAAGTATTCTTATTTAAAAAAAAAATTTAGATTAAAGATTAATCAATTAGCGAATTTAGTATTGCTTTTTAAACTTATTTTTGTCCATAAATAAGTACGAATAAAAAGATTAGCAGATAAGATTTGACAAATTTTAATTGTTTGATAATAATAAATTACATACATATTACATGTGTATAGGACACTAAAGTATCACAAAATTTTAGAAAAACAAAATCAAGTAAACCATATATTAATTGATATAATAATATTATATATAACAGAGAAATATTTATATTGATTGTTGATAGTGCTTGTAGGAATCTAAAAAGATATTTTCAAAAATTTTTGTAACAAACGAAAATATATTCTAATAAGATTGAAAGAAACTTTTTTTTTCTTTAAAAAAATACATAAATATAATAAATAAAAGTTATACATACTGTAAGAGCACAAATTATTATAATAACAAGTGACTTTATCATGTTAGGTTTTTAATTAATTCCATATATTTGCAATGACATTATTCGCAGACTGTGGCACCTTTTTATAATTTTTCAACGCTATATTTCAATAAAAGGAAAAAATTTGTTTGGATTAATTTGAAACAGAATTACGTAATATTTTCTAATAGGATGCCTGAATTTAAGAATTTAAGATTTCTATCTAATAGTAATTATAATAATTCTGCAAACAACGTCACACAAAATGAGTTTTGATTATTTAATTTCCATATTAGATTATAATGAAAATTGGTATTTAAATGTTACGTAAAGGATTAATTACTTTTACGTAATGAATTATAATACCTTTTTATTGTATCTTTTTTTTTTGTATATTGCTATATATATATATATATATATATATATATATATATATATATATATATGTAATAATAATAACTTTAACATTTTATCCATATCGCATCACTACACACATATTTTCTACTTGAAATTAATGCACTATTTCCCCTAAGTTTGATAAAATTAAAAATCATGAGGTAAAATTTTCTGGCTAATTATTCTTGAAATTTTTAATTAATATTTCATAAAATAGTTCAAATTAAATCTTTCATTATACGCAGTTGAAATTAATTTGAGCACTCGTATATAAATCATTTTATTAAAATCTTATAAAAATTTCTAATTACATAATCAATTATTTTTATGCACAATATATTTTTTTTATATTAAATAATAAATAATTAATAACATAATAAAAATATAACTATTACTTTTCATTTTGAGCCTTAAAAATTATTACACCATGTCTATAAAAAATATTTTTAAATGTTTTATGAAAATTATATAATGTGTCAAAATTTGTCAAAATTAATCCGTTTAAAAAATTACATTCATATTTCTATTCTTCATTTATTTGAAGCAAAATTCTTTATTTGATAAAAAGAAAGAAAAAAAAATTGGGATTTAAAAAAAAAAAAAAAAAAAAAAAAAAAAAATGGTTGTATAATAAATACTGTTGAAAGCGACTATATAATCGCTTATATATTAGTTGTATATATAAAATTATATTCAATCATATACTTAATTTTTATAATACAAATTATCATTTATATTATTTATTTCATATCATATTATTTAATTATCAACACTTTATTATTATTTATGGAATATTTGATTAATATTAATATTAATTTTGTTAAAATTAACGTATAACTAAAATGGTATTATATGTTCCATACATATTTTATATATCTTATTTTAAGTAAAGATTAGATTAATAGTATAATAGTATAATAGTAATATATATATATATATAATATATACTATTATATATTTATTATAATAGTACAATAAAAATAAAGTTGCTGGTTTTGTAATTATTTTTACTTATTTTGTAAAGTCCAATTCTAACATTTTACAAATAATTAATATTGCAAACCATCGTATTAAGAAAAAATTTCATTTCACATCTATCCTTATCTTTACGCACGAAATTCGCAAAATCCATGCTCTATACATATGCATTACATACGCATAAATACACATGCATATATATGCGCATATATAGATTACCTATAAAATTGTAAGTGCCGCCGACGTTTAAAAGAAATAAAATTTTCGGGCAAATGTATAATATAAAGTTAAACAAAGATTACTTCTAAATTTGAACATTATTTTTTTATATAATTTTTAATGCTAAAATTGTGGAAATTATGAAAAAAAGCTTTTGCAACGTTCGTTTTTAAAATTGCGTAAATAAATAAGTGTTACAAGCACATGATTTAAACCAGTATCTTAACCTCAAAACTGCCTTGTACAATAGTTACCAACTAGATCTTTTTACGTCTACATTATCATTAAGAAATTTATAAGCTTTAAGTTATATATTTAACCACTATTTTGTCAAAAAGACAAATTTTTTACTTTTATCTAGTGTCATCAAAGATCACGAAAATTCAACATAAACCCGTTATGTTCTACTACAAAACGAAAATTCTACAAATGAATCAGCAAATACTTTTGATATTTAAAGTATACTTTACTTTTCGAAAGTTATATACAGTGAAATAGTATTGTAATTCTTTATTACTTATTATTTGAAATATAAAAGACTATATTTGTGTATTATTATATTTTACTTGATAAATCCTGTTATAAATTGTGTATTTATTAATTAGTAAAATATAAAACTTAACAAAAAAAAAAAAAACAAACAAAAACAATAAAATTATACAAAGATATCAATAAAATAAATTATCGATTAAATTATTTATAATTATATATTTGAAAAATATATAGTTATTGTGTATCATATTAGATAAATTAAAAATGGGGCTATTAGAATTTAAAAAATGTCAGAACCTTCAAAAGACACCAGCTTATATTCGGAATATTTGCATTCTTGCTCATGTTGATCATGGAAAAACCACTTTAGCTGACTCATTGGTAGCTAGTAATGGAATAATTTCAAATAAATTAGCTGGAAAATTACGTTATCTTGATAGTCGTCCAGATGAACAGCTGCGTGGCATAACAATGAAATCAAGTCTCATTACATTGTATCATATTTGTAATAATTCTGAATATATCGTAAACCTTATTGATTCTCCAGGTCACGTAGATTTTACATCCGAAGTATCAACTGCTGTAAGATTATGCGACGGTGCCATGATTGTAGTAGACGCCGTTGAAGGTGTTTGCTCACAAACTCGTAGTGCACTTTCTATAGCATACGCGGAAAGTTTAAAACCCATTTTAATTCTTAATAAAATTGATAGATTAATTACTGAAATGAAATTATCTCCACTAGACGCTTATGTTCATTTGAATCAAGTATTAGAGCAAGTAAACGCCGTTATGGGAGAATTATATGCTAGTGATGTTATGGATCGAGATGAAGAGAAAGAAAATGTTTTATCTAATAGCATAGATAATTTAATTGAAAGAAGGAATATAGTGGACTGGCAGTCGGCACTGGAAGAGATGGATGATTCAAATTTATATTTTTCACCGGAACAAGGAAATGTTTTATTCGCTAGTGCTATTGATGGATGGGGCTTTGCTATAAAAGATTTTGCCAAAATTTTTTCTGACAAATTAGGTTTTAGTGAAAAAGTTTTATCAAAAACATTATGGGGAGATTATTATTTAAATACAAAAAGTAAGAGAATTATGAAAGGTGCGCAAGAAAAGGCAAAGAAACCATTATGTGTCCAACTGATTTTAGAAAATCTTTGGACTTTATATGATACGGTAATAGTAAGGAGAGATAAGGAAAAAATTGTATCAATGGTGGAAAAATTAAATATTAAATTAACCACAAGGGACTTGCGTCATACTGATCCCAAGGCACAATTGCATGCAATTTGTATGCAATGGTTACCCTTGTCAGAGTCATGTCTCAATATAATATGTGAAAAGATTCCAGCACCTCATAAATTATCTTCGGAGAAAGTGGAACGACTGATCAGTGGAATGGACGAATATTCATCTATGCCCAAAGAAACTCAAAATTTAAAAGAAGCTTTTTTATCGTGTAATTCCAACGAACAAGCGCCAATTATTATTTTTATTTCAAAAATGTTTCCAGTAGATAAAAAATCTCTACCTGAAAATAAGCCAAGACTTTTAACTCAAGAAGAATTAATTAAGCGAAAAGAAATTGCACGTCAAGCACATATTGATAAATTAGTAAATGAAAAGCCTCCTGTACCAATATCAAATGAGAATGTCCAAAGTACGGATAATGTTCAAAAAGAAGATACTGACACTTGTGAGAGTAGTCTGATTGCTTTTGCTAGAATATATTCGGGCACGGTGAGTATTGGTAGTGAGTTGTATGTTTTAGGGCCCAAGCATAATCCCAGAATTGCTTTAGAAAGGCAAAGAGCCGGCGAAGTAATAGATCCAAATTTGCAATTAAAGGATTTAAAAGATGGATGTTACATTACTAAAGTGACTATTTCAAAATTGTATCTCCTCATGGGTAGAGAACTAGAGCCAATTACTAAAGTACCCGCAGGGAATGTCATTGGTATTGGTAATTTAGAAGAGCATGTATTAAAGACAGCCACATTGTCCTCCACTATAGCCTGTCCATCATTTTCCGAATTAACTTCATTAACAGTTCCAATACTTAGAGTAGCGTTAGAACCAAAGCACCCAAATGACTTGCAAAAATTAATTTATGGTTTAAAACTTCTTAATCAAGCTGATGCTTGTGCATTGGTTCATATTCAAGAAACTGGAGAAATTGTTTTAAATACAGCAGGGGAAGTTCACTTGGAACGATGCTTAGAAGACTTAAAACTTCGTTACGCTAAAGTCGAAATTAATGTATCAGAGCCAATTGTATCGTTTAGAGAAACTATTGTACCAGCTCCAAAAGTTGATATGCTGAACGAAGTTATAGAACAGAAGCCAGATGATATTAAGTTAGAAACATGGACGTTGAATAATCAGCGTTGTTATTTTGAAGTTGATGCAAAGCCCCTACCCGAAGCAGTTACAAAATTATTGGAAAATAATTCTGAGCTCATAAAGGGGCTGAATAAGCATTATGGCGACTTAAGCAAAGAAAAAGAAAATTTGTCAGAGCTGCCGGATCTAACTGAATTAAATTTGGAGTCGAAATCTCTTAGTGAAAGAATGCAGAAAAATTTAGAAGTCTTCAAGAATGAATTATTAAATGCTTTTAAAGATGCAGATTGGGACGAAGACACTATGAATAAAATATGGTCTTTCGGACCTAGACAAAGTGGTCCAAATATTTTTTTAAACGAATCGAGTTTTGTTGGAAAATCTTTTTGGGATCATCAAACGAAATATACAGATCCTCGAGAGATGTGAGTAACATTACAAATCATTTGTATTAATCTCAGATTATTGTTCGTGAATTTTTGCTTTTTCCTTATCAACGATAAATAATTTATATATTAAATAGATTATAATAAACAATTTAGTTTAAGCGCATATGAAAGAATGGATGAAACGTGTCGATTATTTATTTAGATTTATTTTAAAACTTTTTTTAAAAAAAAAAAAAACACATTTATGAAAATACATTAAGACTTATATTCCATTATTTATAAGCTGATTTATAATTAAATAAATATATATTATTTACGAGTTATTTTTAAAATTAATATTAAAATATATGTAATCAGATACTACAGCAGCATGATAAATGGTTTTCAATTGGCAACTTTATCTGGGCCATTATGTGAAGAGCCTATGATGGGAGTTTGTTTTATTTTAAAGAAATGGGAAATTAATGAAGATTTACAAAGGTAATTATTATTTATTTCAAATACGCTAGAGGTAAAATTAAATTTTTATGAAATATTTATGTATAAAAATATTTATGAAAATGAAAAAAAAAAAAAAAAATAAAAAAAAAATTAATGTAATTAAAGTGGGAATTAACGTATAATATCGTTATAATTTTTAATATAATTTTTGTGTTGAAAGAAAACATTAATATTCAAAATAAAAAAATGTTAATTTATTCTATTTGGATATTTTTTCAATATATTCAAAATGAAACTCGTTCACTGAGCAAAGAATCTTTTAAATATTTAAATCGCAAAATATGAAACCTTTGGAAGCTAAAACTGATGATCGAAGAGTTAATTTACGATGCAAAAATCCCAAATTTATTTTCGAGAAATAAAATATAATTAAAATCTTTTAAATAAAGCATAGAATGAATGGTGAAGAGTCGTAATATCTAGTAAAATTTGCAATGAAACGGATAATCTTTGTTTATAATGTGTATATGAAATTGTATAATATTATTTAGATGAAATTTTTATAAGAAATATCTTTACGAAAATTCAATTGAATCGCACAATTTATTTATCGTGTACGTTTATTATTTAATAACATATATAGGGTATAAAAAATTTTTTCATTAGAGTAACATTGAAATAATATTCAAATATAGGTAATCAAAATATTCGTTATGTTTATACGTAATATTACGAATCTCAGTACCTGCGAACTACAAATCAATATAAACAAAAAAAAAAAAACAAAAAACAAAAAACAAAAACAAACAAACAAATAATTAAGTTTTCAATATTTTTCCTTTGCTGTTTTCATTAACTATGTTGTCGTATCCTAATTGCATCATGCTCTTCGTACTTTGTGAATTTCGATTTTTAATTTTTGATACATCTGCTGTACTTTTTAAATTAATTTAAATTAGTAGCTTTAATAATATTGTAGATCATCAAAATGACATTTTAAAAATCAAATAAATTGTATAGAATTAGACGTAAATTTATCCCTATGAAAGATAGTGAAATACAAATAAATTATAAGACTATTTATTTATTGTAATGTGATAAAGTTCAAAATGAAAATTGACTTTCAATTCAGTTTGGTTTAACTGACACGACCACATGTACATGGTACATCGATTTTATAAAAAGTATTATTTCGATCAATCGTGTTACTTCATACATTTTCATAAATATGTTTCAAATAAAAAATATCGACTATGAAAAAATAAAAATACATTTATTCGACGAGAAAATGATTATGCAATTTTTTTCAATTCCTTTTCTTATAAAAATGACATTTGTCAAGTATTCATATTTATGTCACTGTGTAAGATATTTTTTTAAAAAGTAGCAACATCAATAATATTTTTATCTTTCTTTAACAAGAGTAAAGATAAAAATATGTTTATGCCTAATTATTGAAATAATTACAATAATAACTATAGAAAAAAGAAAGTGTTAAATTGTATAATATACATTGTGTTATGAAGAATATTACAATAGTAAATATATTTGTTATAAAATATGAATTTTATTTTTGTTATTCATTGTAATAATTTTTTATCCTTCTTTCCAATACCTATGTACATAATGCTATAAATATATATTTTTTAAAAGTTACATTTATTATTCTTCAGAGTTTGTGGTTGGACAAAATTTTTAACCTACTTTTGCGAATGTAATGCAAATGATAAAGCATAATATTTTGAATTCAGTTGAATTACTGAAATACTTTAATATATACAAAAATGCGAAGTATTACTAATTTAAAAATGATAATATTCTATTCATTCTTAAATAATAATTTTCATTTAAATGAATTTCATTTAATGTAAATATTAAAAATAAGACGGAATATAGTTATTAAGCATCATATTTATTAACATATTAATAATTAATTTAATTTAAACAAAAATAATAGGATAAGTAGAGGGATAAATAGAAAAATTTTAATAGTATGAAATTCAATGTGAAAACATGAACGTTTAACGGAAGCACAAAGAACGAAATTTTAAAGTAATCGATATTCAATTAAATTTTAATGATATATGCTCTTTCATCCTAATTTTTTCCCTGAATTTTACATTTTATTTATTTGAAAATTGCTAAATATTGAAGCACAAACAATTACAATATTTACTTAATTTTTTCAATCGAGTAATATCTTTTATTAAAAGTCTGTAAGAATGTTGGAGGGAAAAGCTATCGCGTGTATATTAAATTAAATTAACATTGAAGAGAAACTGATATTTTTGACAAAGGAATCGCACCATTAGAGAATGTTGCTTTTGCTTTTGCTTTGTCCTACTTCAGCCTCTTCTGTTCAATGTAATTTTAAACTTACATAGTTTAAATGCTTCGAGCATTACATATACGTGCATATACGTATAATAATAAATATAACAATTATGACTATACGAATTATTCGTTTGTACTTCCTGATTTTAATAAAAATACTAAAGTAAACAGTTGTAAAGAGTATACTATCCTTTTATTTGTATTCATTTGAATATAAAAGGTTTCCGTTTGCTTTTCTTCTTCAATAATATAATCGTTTCATAATTTCAGTGAAAGTGGAAATCAATCCCAAAGTCATTTTGGTGGACAGCTAATGTCAGCTTGCAATCAGGCCTGTCGGAAAGCTTTTAGTATGCGAAGACCTCGCATTGTCACTCCTATGTTCTCTTGCAGTGTATTGGTCAACTCCGACGTTTTAGGTAAGTCATATACATTTCTTTCGAAAATTTGTAAAAATTAATTCGTTGTTCTTGTGAATAAGTAAGTTGATATGCTCATAAACGAAGATATGCCCATTTTTTGAGAGAAAAAAGGAATAATTACAGGTTAAGTTAAAGTTTCGAAGGAAGATAATTTAAAATTTGATTTAAAATTCTTAAGATTTTATCGAAAACTTCGGTCGTATTCAGAATTATCATTATACGTTATTACGTAAAACAAATAGTTCTTACATGGGAGACTCGGTGAATTGTTTGTTGAATTTTCAATGTGATAATTTTTCAAGGTCTAGGATACTTGTTTTATGCTGTGATACTACATGTAGATTAATATGAAGTTATAATTTTCCGTTATTTATTTATACCATATGCATGACAATTATTATTTACAATAAAGAATTACTGGTCACATACGCTACTAGAAAAATCACGTTTTCAATATAATATGCTAAATATAAGTATTCCTCTTAATAAGTTAAATATTATTTGTGATAATAGACAGAAACGATAGTTTATTAAAGTTTTCGTTCAGCTTTTTCTTAACGCAGTCATGAAATCTTCATACACGTCGAAGAATTATTGACTAAATATTAGCTCAACTTATCAACGAGTTACAATACTGTAGTTTCAAAAAATTTACTTTATAAAAATGGAATATTGTGTATTATTCAAAAACAAAAAAAAAACAAAAAAAAAAAAAAAAAAAGAAGAAAATAAAAATATAAAATTCGGTGGTTATCGATTATACAGTAACATGGCATTTATATGACAATCAATACCGTTAACCGCAATCTTAAATAATACGGTAAATTTACTTTTACATATGACATGACGAATGCAAAACAAAATAATATTACCATTTAATTAGAACAAATTTGCCTATTATACTTCTTGAAAGCATAATTTTAAATGAAAATCAATCACTTTAGTAAGCTAAAAAACAGAATCAATAATTGTATTCTTTGTTTTTATGAAAATCCTACTTTCAGTGAATATTTATTTTTGAGCTTTGTATGTTGATTTATGTGTAGCATTTTTTTTTTCTTTTTTTTTTTTCTTTCTTTCTTTCTTTCTATTAAAAGTAATTCTTGCGCACCAGTACATTTAATCTTATATATTATTGCGAGTATAAATGCATTAAGGCAAATGTAGATTGTATAAAAATTCTAAGTATTCTTATGCTCTATATACTCAATTAATCTTACTTTATCCAATCTCCAATGTTTCATTTCTTTTACAATAATAATTAGGTGCCGATATTTTCATTCAAATTTTGAAAGGAATAAACATTATCAGATAGACAGGAAACTTATATATATATATATATATATATATATAATTTATAGCAAAAGTACCTAAACGCACTTATAAAACCAATATTTAAATTAAAAATACATTTGTAAGAATAATAAAGTAAAAATTCTGTAAAAACGTTCGATAGTAAAAGTTTAAAATTATTGGTAATTCACTCAATTACAAAAATATGTATGTTTCAATTGTTTTAGTTTATTTTCGAAAATACTTAAATGTTGAAATAAAAAAAATATTGAGAATATTTTTAATTTTCGGTGAATTACCCGTTCTCGTGCATCTGATTTACTGCTTAAAATGGACACTTTTACAGTACCATTTCGCTCTAGTGTAATATAATGAAAAAGACCGTTTCAAGAGGTAATAAAATAAAACTAATCCTAGTAAATGCATTTGTATATGGGTAGTAAATTAAAATTTTTTATGTATATTTTATTTCAAGAAAGCTTTTTTAATGATTTATTATCATGCTTAGATCATGTTTTATTTAATTTAATTATTAAATACCTTAACGAAATTAAGTGCTATAGGTGAAAAATACTAATTTATAAAAACTTATTTGATCTAGTTGAATTTTTGATAAAATGCGAAAAATTAACAGCTAAACAAAGCTGTTAATTATACGATGAAAAAAAAAGGTAAAAGATTACAATTAACTTACAATTCAGTCAGTAGAAATTTTATTAAAAGGAATAAATTCATGTTCTTCATGCACTATTAGAAAAATATGAATCTTTGCTGAGTATTTTTTCTCCGTGAAGTAGCAGTCATTCGTACAATAATCACATATAGAATAGAATTCTCGATTACAGTCATCATCATTTTAACCGACATTTCCTAGTGATTTTTGATGGATGAAAGAAATTAAATTACAAAAACGAACTGCTTATAATAAAAAGTACGTGAGTAAGTATCATTGGATGCACATGAATCGAATGATCGCTGGCCATCCGATGAAATAATTGCAACAGTTATACATGGTGAGGAGTAATTGAGTATTCTATCCTAGACGTAGTCTTTTACGTTGGCCTAGCCTTCGTAAAAACAAAAAACAAAAAACAAAAAGCAAAAACAAAAAAAAATGAAAAAAAAAAAATAATAAATTTCTACACGATGTACATGCACTTGGAAATTTCGTAGTTGAATTATAATATTCTTAATAAATATTATAAATAAAGAAGAAACGGGGCGTGGGTGGGGCGGGGGGGGGGGGGCGCAGCGAACGAGTCGTGTATGAAAATTGTTGGGAATTGAATAAATAATTAAATGCGAGTGTCATGTTGAGTTCGTTGGTCGGCTTATTCCCACTTGGCCGTCCTCATTAGTTCTGGCACCAAATGCCACGGGAACGTTTCGCGATGCTCGTCCTCGTTCCTCATTCCCGGCAATCCTGAAAATGCAATCGAAGAGATTTATTGACTCGAATCGCAACAGCCGCAAGCGTCAGCCAGTTACATAAGCACCGACGACAAGTCTTTTAGGCAAACGCGGAAAAGTAAAATGCGCTTTTCTCAATCTTTCTCACCTAAAATACTGCGAATGTTTCGGAGCGGTCGACCCCTTCGACTTCCTTGGACGCACATCATGCCGTAGACACGGATTCCAGGAACACTAGCGTAAGTCGGCTGATCGTGACTCATCGGACCCTCTGCGGAATCGAGAATAACATTTTTACGTGCTCTCCTGTGAGAAATTGGCGACATTTTCCATTTTCTTATATTTTCTCTCAACTCCTCCTTACCTATTTATAATTAATTTGTAACCGCGTAATCTTTTCGAAAAAATTTTAAGCTTCGTATAACATGCTTTTAGATGCTTTGCGCATATTTGACAAAGAAAATTAATTCTACGTTGTAAGTAACGAACGTATGTACAATGCACGTATAATTATTTTCTACCGACATATAAATAATAAAGCGACGAATAATTTTATATTTGAAGGTGACTTTCGTGCATATCATTTTCACGAGTAAACAAATATGAATTTGAAAATTAAACTGGCCTACACGTTCACCATGACAATAATAATAACAACAACAACAACTATAATAATAATGAATTTTAAATCATGCCCTCGTTATGTTAATTTATTGTAAAATGTCGCCAAAATTAAAACAGTCTTTCAATTAATTTTGCTTATAATGAATATATACCACAGAGTTAATAAGAAGAAATCTTGTTTTTAATGTCGAATTAAATGTTCTTGGATGCCAATAACATTACTAATGATTGACAGCATTAATTAAACATCGTCTATTTCACCAATCCGGGATAATGGCAAAGGAGAATACTTATAAAATCATTATGAAATTTCAATTACGAATACTGTTCGAGCGTGTAAGTATATTATGTGTTAGTGAAACAAGTAAGTGGCGATGAGACTCATCTCTTTGTGTACCGGCATATATAAGAAAATTGATCATCAACGAAAGATGCATATAAAGATGTAGAGAATCTAGTGCTCCTAACGGTATAGTAAATCCAGGCAATTTGCCGGTAGCCATCGCGAAAATCTGCGCTCGCAAAACCGGAAAAATCAATTACGCGTCGGTTTCCTCCTCTCGTATATACGCGAACTCACGTATTCATCTGTGCAACGAACGTAAGAGTGCGCGTCGTTTTTTCCTAGGACCATGTACGCGTTACATACGAGATAAGCCACCACGGGGGAAAAGAGAGTATGTGTGTACTTACCGAGAATGTTTGTATCGGGACAGCGACAGATCACCAGGTAATGGGACTTTCCTGTTCGCACGTTCTGGAGCGCAAGTAGTGACCAATCTCTCGGCGCTCTGCATTCTCGCATCTCGGCGACCGGCTCGCATGTCTTCACCAAAGTCAGGGCCTACGGAAACGAGAAGATTTTTACTCAACTGAACGAACCATTCATCACTTTTTCAGCTTCTGTCCTTCGTTCGCCTTTATTTTTTTATTTTTTTTTTTTTTTTTTTTTTTTTTTTTTTTTTGCTTTTTATATGCAGCGTGTATCTGCCCGAACACCCGGGTACGAGACGACCCACGTGTGTGTCGATTCCACGAGGTGACAGAGGGACGAGGCAGCTCAGAGGTAGGCTTGGGCAAACACGAAAGGCTCTTTTTCCACAAGCATTGACTTCCTCGATAACGCTTAAGTGCGCTGATCGAGAGCTCAGCCCGGAAGTGTAGGCGCGAATATGCAGTTAACGTGACGGTTGGTGGTGGTGGCGCGGTGGGCCGGGGGCGGGGGGGGAGACGAGGGACAAGGGACGGCGCGCTTCTTCTCTATCTTTTTAGTTTTTTCTTTCATTCTCTTTCTCTTTCTCTCTCTCTCTCTCTCTCTCTCTCTCTCTCTCTCTCTCTCTCTCCCTCCCTCTTTCTTTTTGTTTAGCGAGGGATAGCGCGCGACGTGGCATGCCGATCCTTATCTCGATTTAAGAACCGTTTAAATAATTACGGTGGCCGATTGCGGCGGCAGCACGAAGAAATTCACACGTCATTGAGTACGTGTAATCAATTGGCGTGCGCGGGCGCGCATTGGATGTTAATTGGAAAGTAGCGCGCCGGCAACGTATGCGCGCGGGCAAGATGATAATTGATAGGAGCGAGTTTTTCGCCCCGCCTAAAACAATTTAATTATCTTAGGCTCACCGGGGAATGCGCGCCGGCATGGGGGGGGGGGGGGGGGGGGGGGGGGGGGGGGGGGGGGAGCCGCGAATAACAGACTGCGCTAAAGGAAGCTTGAGTTGCGGTGTAAAAATTGGCCGGGAGTGACTTTGTCGGTAATTTCGGACGTCATTGTAAATGTTGAGGCGAAGCGGAAGGAGAACAGGCAAATACCAAATGAGCAAAAATGTGCGGGAAACTGATTAAGGATTAGTTAGCCAGTTCTTCATTTACGAGATCGCGGGTGGACGGGGATGGCGGAGATGGCGGTGGCCGCGAAGGGGAGAGGGTGGGGTGAGGAGTGAGGAAAAGCCTGCGGTTCACCGCCGCCATTCGAGGCTCCTACGGTCGGGAGATGAAGAAGAGATATAGAGAAAGAAAGAGAGCCTCCCTCCTCCCGACTGAGAAAGCCCGCGCTGCCTCTTTATCGCTCTTGCGCATCTCGTTATTCTCGCTCCTCGTGCACTTCATTAAGAACAATTGGTCATGAACTTGGCTCGTTTCACGATTCGAACTTGCCAGCTATCTTTTTCCACAGCTTCCTTCATCTCCCCCCCCCCCGCCCTCCCCCACTTACTCACTCCCTCTCTCCTTTAAAGTCTCCGCAACTTCTTACATCTGTCGCTGCAGGCCTCGTGTAAGGTGTCCGACTCCCTATTTTCCGGAAGCTATTCCAACATTTTTTACCCTTTTCTCTTGGCATGCCTCGTGCACTTATTTATCGAGAGTTGAGTGAAATCATGTTAGGAATTATTGCTTTATTCTGTATTTGAAATACCTTTTCGTTCCCACACGACGTTTTGTTTACTTTTTGCTTATTAATTTCGACTGTGTTAAAGCGCCAACCGTGTGTTATTATTATGAATTCATTTTAAAGAAGAGAAATTTGCTCTAATTATTAAATTCCGCAACCAAATTTCTATATTTTCCTTGTTTATTCCAAATAAATTACTTCAATAAATAGCAAATACTTTTTTCCAAATTCTTGATTACAGTAGTATTTGTAAATATCGTTTCCATGCTTCCAATTCGCTATTAAAATGATAAAAAGATCGCTACGACATAATGCAAATATACAGTTGATAGGACTTTGTTTTTTTTTTTTTATTACAAACACAAAATTCTAAGAAGAATTATCAATCGTGAATCAAGCTTGAAAGCTTGAAAATATTTGTTTTTGAAAATATAATACAATGAGGTATGAATAAGATAAAGATTTTTGTTTAAATTGTAAAATTTTCCATTGTCCAAAAACATGTATAAATATTCTAAAATATTCTATTCAATTATTGCAACTTCATTGTACAGGTATGAAGGCAAATGTAAATTGACGTGTTGAACTTATATACACTAAATAACCATCTATCCAATATAATAAAATAATAAAATATCAATAATATTATCGATAATATTAGCTAAGATATATAAAAGACTCGTTTTTGCAATATTTTCAACATGAATGTTAATTTATTCGACTAATTATAATCTTTACGCCAAGTAAAGTTTTAAATTTTTATTACGACACTAACTTTTTCACATATTGACGTTTGATTCGCATGATTGCTCGTGATTTCTTAACCCGCACGTGCTCACTTGTTACTTGCAAACGAAGAAATTGTTTTTAAAATAAATCGTAAGATAAATTAATTTTATATGTAAATATAATGCAAATTCTGTACCTTTGCATGCTGCCCATATAAGAAATTAATAGTTTATAATCGTTTTCATTAGTCTAAATGTATCGTGAATTAGCTTATAACTAAAATTCTTATTTCAATAATAAAATAACGCTATCTATGCATTCTGCATTAAAATTCTCATTAAACTCCGAATTCTCTAATCATAAAATTTATTGAACATCATTTAAAAATGCTTTATAACACTGCTTTTAACATTTTTATTATTTTACTGTCTTATACTTACAAAATATTTTGATTATTATGTGCGCGATAAATCTGTTTGATAAAATCAATCAACTTTTTCCAAGATTTACCCCCCCCCCCCACAACCGCTGTATACGAAGAAGCTATAATTATTCACAGAAGTTTTTGCTACAAATCTTGATCGCAGAGATTAAATATCGAAATACTTTATTTATAAAATACATCTGCAAAATATGTACGGAATTCAGTATCATCATGATATTCTACATAAGACGCTGAAATAATAGACGTTAATAAAAATATAAAAATTAGACAAGTTAATTAAAGGGTCGTGTAGTGAGCTGATGAAATCGATCAATCAACGTGGAAAATTGGAAGTGCTTGATTGTTATGCTGGAGACACAACAATCAGGTACCTCCCATTCTCCGATGTGATCGGTTTATTTAATTTATTTGTAATATAACAACAGCTGTAAGCAAATTTCATTATTTTGCGTATAATTCTTCATGGGACACTAATTGAGTTTATGAAAAAATTAGTTATATCATCAAATACTTAAGTAAAAAATGAAAATCCAATGCTCAACTCAGCATTGATAATAATGAATAAAAAGTACTTCGTTTTTTTTTCTCTTTGTTTTTTGTTTTTTGTTTTCTGAAAAGCATTCTATTTCAATTATTTTCTTTCCAAGAAGTAGGAAATATAAATACCACCGACTAATTTAAGTGATTGTTGAAGTTAGAATTATAAAAATATTATATTACAAAACATTTTTAAAGGTCGTAAATTATCTCTTATTCATTGGGATCTTATTAGATTTCATAGTCGCACGTTTCCGTTTCTCACTTTTCTTGATTACTATTTCACATCATCAATCTTTACGACATAATTCTCATCTGGAACGATATTCATTACGGAAAGCTACGATTCTGAACATAATTTTTTACGATATAAACTCATGCACGGCCTGATATTATTCTACTTGATATACGATATTCCTTATGCCACGAACAACTTTGGGTATTATTCGTATTTCCTTTGATTTTTAATTTTATTAAAAAAAAATCTAAAACAAATATATATATATATATATATATATATATATATATACGTATTTTCTAATCATAACTTTTACGCGATTATTTATGCAATAAATAAGTAATATAGTGTATTAAAAAAAAAAAAAAAAAAAACTAATGTAAAAATAATAAGTATGCAATTTTTTTATGACGCTCAGTCAATTAAAATGAAAATTGTGTTTCTACGAACACGCGTTAAAGTAATTGTAGTGTACGTGCGAATAAAAAATGATGCGGCGCTATAGAATTTCATAAACATATCATTATTTACCATTTAATTAAATTTAGCTCTATCTTAATGTTCTCCGCGAGTTCGGCATAATAAATATAATAAAAAATTAATTTTCCATTCTTCGTTAAATTAATCGCTGCTTTTGTTTTAATTTCACTAACATAAGACAATGAGATGATAAGCCTCAAGAGTGCCGATAGGTACTACCACACAAAATGGCATTTAACCCAAATTTAGAATTCCCGATCATTAAGAATTTTAGAACTGCCTAGTAAAAAGTGTGCTCAGCGCAAAAGATGCCAGCAAAAAGTACACGTTTTCCGGCGTTGAATGCATTTCTTTTATTGCCAGTGTGAATTGCGCTGAAGGGCCCTAACTCGCACATATAATTGCATGCATACATTCTTCTTTTGGTAAGTAAATATGGGAGGAGAGAAGAAAGGCCGTTTTGGTGCGAGTGCTAGAGTGCTACAATTTTCGCTTCTAAAAACACGAGATAAGTTAAGACGTGGATTCTTATTCCGCCGATGGTTAAAGAAAATGAAGTGAAAAATAGTAAGAAGCACGGCCCTCCTGCACAGGCTTCGAAGTAGCCACATATTCAGGAAACAGTCACAAATGGCTAATTCGCTCTCACCACAATAAAAAACATCTCCCGCGTAAGAGAGCGAGAGAGAGCGAGAGAGAGAGAGTGTGTGTGAGTGTGTGTGTTTGTGTGTGGTGGTAGTGGTGGTTCTCGGTTACAGTTAGAAGTAAGACACGAGACTTATAAATATCAGACTCTTGCACTCCTTTGGTGGGATTCCGTAAGTTAAGCCTAGCATGACTATTTCCTTTTATTCGCTCGCACGCGCGAAAACTCAGGGAGGCAAAACACTGGTCGCCCTCTCTCTCTCTCTCTCTCTCTCTCTCTCTCTTTCACCCTGCATCTATCTCTACTCTCTGTCTTTATCTATGTCCATCTTCCTCTGGCTATCTCGCATTTCTTTTCCTTGGAGTTAGAGGGGC